TTTTTATTTTATTTTCTTTTCTATAATTATTTACTCTTTAATTTCATTTCTTTAAAAAAATCCGATTTCAACAAAATATTTTATAAAAAAACTTTAATTCATGCACTTTTAGTCTCATTTTACTAACTAATCCAACAAAAAAACAAAACCTAACCCCACTTTCCAAATTCAATGCAAGTTGCCCGTTATCTGCTTCATTTTAAAACTAATTCTTACAAAAAAATTTATATATACATATGTATACATATATATACATATTTCGTTTTATATTTAATTATTCGCACATTACCTGTGAATGAGCTGAACATCTTGTTGCTGCTGTTTTTGTTGTTGCGGTTGCAGTTAAAATTTCACAAAAATGCGAAAATTGCCTCGCTTTGATTTGCGCTGTTTTGCTCGCTAAAAATTCGTCGCAATTTATTGCGTGGGCGGTCTAGTTATATGGGCGTTGTTGGTTTTGTTGTTGCTGCAAAAGGAAATTGACTTTCCAAACACACGAATTTCGCAATATTTTATATGTAAAATGAATTTGCCCCGCACAAAACTGCGTTTTGAAGAAAATTGCACTTTTTTTCTTTCAAAAAATTAATTTTTCAAAATATTTATTTTTGTTTTGATTTTGCTTGAAATTTTTTTAACACGGGTATTAAATCGACACGTACCACGTTGCTAATTGCGTCTAGAGCCGTTGGCAGCATAAACACGATTGAAGATATTCCGTGGCTGTTGAAGAAGTTGCTGCTGCTACTGCTGCTGGCGTTGCCGACGCCGACGCCGATGCCGCTGTAGCTAAATATTGTTGACGGCAAAAGCAAAGGCAATAAAGTAAGAACACCAACAAACACAGCATGTGCGCATTAATCACAGAATACCAGCAGTAACAATACTAAACATGTGCATGTGTATATACATATGCGTGTGAGTGTGCGCGTGTGCGCCAAAGTGCTTTTGTAGGCAACCCAAGTGCCCACCACCAGCCACAGCAGCAGCCAGACGCTCGCTCGTGGTTTTTCGTTGCGGCGACGGCATGCATTTTGTTGCTGTATAGGCATCTTTCGGCTTAACTTGTTGTTTTTGTTATTATTTCACTTTTATTTTATTATAATTTTGCTTTTGCGTATTGACTTTTATTTATTGTGGAACGCATTGACTTTGGCCTCTCCAAACAGCGGTCGTTCCCGATTTGTTTGTTGCCAATCTTTGGGTGCTTGGCAACTTGTTGCTTGCGTTTGAATCACGTCGTTGTGCTTGCAACATGTTGCTAGATCGCTAAAACGCATAGTTGTCTAATATTTTCATGTAGAGAGTGCATGTCTATTAGCCGGAGGTTCAAAATCTACTAAATCCAGTGCAGCAGTGTAAATACCGTTTTAAAGTACTCAA